ATTTAATTCATAAATTGAAATCGCAATCCCAATTCGACCTTGCAATGCCCGGTCTGGTAGAGTAACACTGCTGTATGATTGCCAGATGCTCTCCTTCTTCTTAATGTTGTTTGTTATCGGAGATTCCTTTCTATTTCAAGGGCCAACACATCCTCGGAATTCTACACCCTTCCCTTCCTTTTCTTCCCCTTTTGGGTTTCATTCAGGATGGATCGTTTGCCATCATGTGGTTGTTTGAGCCTTTGAGGTAGGTTCTTGCATTAGTGCCGAATTTTAGCTTTAATTCCGGCCCCACCATGTTCCTTTTCCTAGTTGTCGGCTGGCCATGTGAGTATGTGACGTTTGGAATGCTTGTTCTTCAACATCTAATGCATTCAATTTTGTGATAGATTACTGTATATTTTTCTGAAAAAAAAACTAAGTCCCTGCCACAAAAGAAACCTGTCTAATCTCAATTGGAATTTCATTCGTTATTGCTGTATCTCTATGCTTGAAATGGTTTGCAGCTAATTTTTGTTTGGTTCTTTAGAAAAAAAAAATGCTCTGACTAATGAATGGGTTGCTGAGTTATGTTTTGTCTCCCTTGAATTGTCAATAAATTGCTTGTTCTTTTGTTCCACATGGTTCCACTCTTCCAGTACTTGAACAGAATAATTCAAAAGGCAAGTACTTTTGGGGCGTACAGGCAGATATTTCCTAAATTTGACGTGGTCTGTGCTTTAGTTAACTGCAGCTATTATTGATTAAAATCTAGGGTTGCTTTTACTGAAAAAGGGCCTGCCTGATGGTTGGCATGATCTGCACTGCACACTTCAGGAATGGTCAAGCATGGACTAACGTTTCTCAAATTGATTGGTCTGTTGACACCTAACTGTTTAGGCCCCAGAGTTGGTAAAAGTCTGTACTCTGTAATGAAAGAAACTGGTTGCTACTATCGACAGGGATCCTTGACTTTTTTATACTTAAATGTGTCATCGTCATATTTGATCTTCGCAAAGTTGTGCAGCGTTGATCCGCAAAAAAAAAAGTTGTCCAGCGTTCCCTTTATTTATCAAGAGAGAAAAAGTACACTTGGACAGTTTTATGTGTGTCAAGGGCGTTGAACCCTCGGGTCGCTGGGCCTCGGCTACGTAGCTCGTAGCCTCGGTCCGTCTTCTCCGGCGAGGTTAATCCTCTGCCGCAGGCTTGGTTGAAGAGAGGAGGAAGATTAGATTGGTAATATTCTTCTTATCCTTCCACACGTCTGTTACATGGATATATATATATATATGGCCCTTGGCCTCAACCAACCGGAGCAACATGCTCCTTTAATTTAGGAACTAATAATAGAAAGCTATCTCTAATTTCCCTCTGAGCCACTAACGGTGATCGCGCCCAGCGCGTCCCCGTGCGCGCCTCCCGCGCGTTCTGCGCGCTCCGCGTCGCGGCGCACATCACGGGCTCGGCGGCGCCTGGAATACGTGCGCCCGACCATGACAATGTGACTCGAGACACTCAGCCAAATAAGAATTAGCCCCTCTTATGATGTGACTGCTGAGTCCTTGTGTAATATCTATATTGCAATTTTTTTTTTTTTATTTGTATAGATGAAATAATAGTTTCATAACGCTTAGATTCCCACTTAGTTTTATAATGTTAAACCATGTACCTATATCTTTTGGATTGTGTGGAATAGGTTAGAGGTTTTCCCTCTCATCTATCGAATCCACTTACTCTGTTGTTTATGATCTGAGAGTCAAAGATTCTTCAGTTGATCATGCTGAAATATTATCAATTTCCTTCCTGTTGGTTAGTATGATTCCAAGAGGAACACATTTGGCTTTAGCTTGTAAACACAGCAAAAGCACATGCATACATGTGCAGGAACATACTATGCTATTTCTTCTTTGATGCCATTGAAAATAAATTAGGAAGCCAAGTTACCCAAGAAAAGTGGAAATTATATGTTTTGTTAGTTGATTACCTTCGGCAGACTTTTAACTATTGTTTGGAGGTTGAAGAATCATGCATTCAGTCTATTTTATTGTACTTTTTTGTGGTCGCATTTGCATCATGAATTATTCCTCGGAGCCTTGATTGGTTTTATATGATATCAAGATTCACTACTACAGTGCAACTAACCTGGCATAGTAACATCATTGATGTTGGAAAGCAAAACTGTGTTATTGTGTTAGGTTCAGAGTTTTCATCTGCAAATGGTTCTATTTACAGGTGTCCATTGAGGAGCTGAATCATATTCTTGATGAAGTGAATGCCCACATCCTTCCTTCCCGCAATGATCTCACTCCAATAACTACAATAGCCGGTGGAAGTGTTGCCAACACAATCCGTGGGCTCTCAGCTGGTTTTGGGATATCAACTGGAATAATTGGAGCTTGTGGAGATGACAACCAGGGCCTTTTGTTTGTCAACAATATGAGCTTTAGTGGTGTAGATCTCACAAGATTAAGGGCCAAAAAAGGGCACACCGCTCAGGTAGCCTAATATCTGAAGCCAGAATTTATCTTTTTTGCCCTTATTTTACTGCATAGTGGATAAGGCTGAAAAGCTCTATTATAGTGTGTGTGCTTGGTCGATGCAAGCGGCAATCGCACCATGCGGCCATGCCTATCTACCGCAGTCAAGATACAGGTATCTCCTTATTTGATAGTGTTAAATGTTACATAGAGTTACTTATATCTCTTAACAATATTATGATTGTTGAGATCGTTTGTCCATCTAACAGGCCAATGAATTTAGAAAGGAGGATTTCAAAGGCTCCAAGGTGCCTTTCTTTTTCCCCTTTTTGTGCACATTTCATTTTGTGATATATGTATTCTTCTTAGGAGAAACATTCAGAGCATATGTCTTTGTTGAGACTGAGTTTTCACTGCTATGATGCAGTGGCTTATTGTGAGATATGCTCAACAGAACATGGAACAAATTATTGAAGCTATTAGGATTGCGAAACAGGAAGGCCTTTCAGTATCATTAGATTTGGCCAGTTTTGAGGTCTGTATGCATCTTTATTACTGACCGTATGGCTCAGTTGAAGTCAACTTTGTAAACACGGTCTCATGTTTTGTATTGGCTACAAGCAGATGGTTCGTGACTCTAGGTCTAAACTCATTAACCTTTTGGAGACTGGTAACATTGACCTTTGCTTTGCCAATGAGGATGAAGCTAGAGAGGTTATAGGGTGAGTCTTTCTAAAATCGTGTATTAATGCATCTATCTAAGTAGGAAAGCAATGAAAGATTTGTGAATTCAAATGGATAAAAATATCCGTTCACATATTTTGAAGCATAGTGCAACCAATCTAAGGTATGTGCCTGGAGTTCATCTGTTGCTTTTATCTGCAGGGGAGGTCTGGAATCAGATCCAGAGGAGGCACTTGCGTTCTTGGGCAAGTATTGCAAATGGGCTGTGGTGACACTTGCTTCAAAGGGATGCATGGCAAAGCATGGCAAACAGGTGAGTTTTAATTGTTGGCCAGTTGTAGACTTGTAGTCTGCATGGTCAGTCAATAATGTTGGCACCCAATTTATATGATGATCTTCTTAAGAATGACATTTTAGTTGGTATATATCTTCTGGAGAATGACAGCAAGTCTTTTCAGTTGATACGACGCACAATACCAAAATCGTGGCAAAATAAGCAGGCTGAGTATTTAGTACTAGAACCTAATAGCAATAGTAATACCAGCATAAAAATGTACAGAGATGTTTTCCAGATGCATTTTTTATATTTTCAACTGATGTTAAGTATTGAGCACTGACCACGTGTCCTTGTTTTTGGCGGTAAAAAAAAATTGACCACAAGTATGTAACAGCGATGATGGATGAATGGATGCAGGTGGTTCAAGTGCCGGCCATCGGGGAGAGCAACGCGGTGGACACAACTGGAGCTGGCGACCTGTTCGCGAGCGGGTTCCTGTACGGGCTGGTGAAGGGGCTGCCGCTGGAGGAGTGCTGCAAGGTTGGGGCGTGCAGCGGCGGGTCGGTGACGCGGGCGCTCGGCGGGGAGGTGCGGCCGGAGAACTGGCAGTGGATGTACAAGCAGATGCACGCCAGGGGCCTGCTGCTCCCCGAGCTCAAGAACTGAGCTAATGCTGCTGTAGCTGTAGCTAGCTGCATGCTGCACCAGCTGTTGTATCTCTCAGTACTCCTAAGACTCGTATCATCACCCAGGAGCAAGAGGCCATTATCCGGCCTCCCATTGTTGGTTGTTGCCGTTACCTTTCCCTGCTAGTCTGTTACTGTTACTAGAATATTATTGGTGTCCATGCTTGATTGCTGGCATGGCGAAGGACGGACAGGCAGGCAAGCACATTAGTTGATTTGTTGAAGTAACCGCAGAGCCACTCCTAAGACTGAATCAATCAGATGGAGTATATTGATTATTGCACTTCATGTGTGTGCTAGAGTACTATTCCCTGCGTCCAAAATTATATGCCGTTTTGTCCAAAATTATATTTGACCAAATTCAGAAATAATATCATAATATAGTAAACGATTCAAGGCCGAGTGATGGATGAGATGAGCGTGCTAGGGTGCTTCTTATGACAGTGATTCGGAGTGTACAAAGACACATTGTTACAATGCTTGAACCGTATATGCACCATGAGCCAAAGTTTTCGCATAAAATTAAATAGATTAGAAGATGTTGGACCAACATGCGCACTCACCTATATAGTTGGCGCATTAAATTGAACAAATTACAAGATGTTAGACTAACATGCACCCACCAGTTGTTGTAGGGTCACTCCGTGAGTGCAATTTACTCTCAATATTATTACCAAAAATATGTCTCGACGGAATAAAAAGACCACACCAAATTCTAGGGATCGAGTTGGGCCTGATCCTAGGCCAAGAGTGGGCCGAAAGAAAAGCACGGCCGTTTTCGGGCGGGTCGGCCTCGCGCAAGCCGGTGGAGTCGACGACAAGCAAAACTCGTCGTCGATCCTTGTCAAAAAAAAAAAAAAAAAAAAAAAAAAAGGGAAGAAAGAAAAACGCTCGTCGTCACGTCATCCCTCTCCGCCTCTCGCTCTCGTCTTCCGGACGCCTCCAATCCGGGCTCCCAGCGTCTCGGAGAAGAGGAGCAGCACGGCACGGCCGCGGTGGCGAGGAACGCTCAATAACATCCCAATTCATTCCACCCAACCCAATTAGCAAGCGCCCAAGGAGGAGGAGTCCAATCGTGCGTACGGGCGTTCCCGTCGGCCATCCATCCATCGATCCGAATCTGCAGGTGAGGATGCTCATCGGTTTCTCATCGTCCCTTCCACTTTTCTCCTCGCGCCTCGAATCGTTCCCCTTCCCCGCGCCCCAGCTGCTCTGCTCCTCTCCCGAGCACCGCCGTTCATCCGCTCCTGCCCCCCCTGGCAACTCTGCTTCCCCCGCCGGCTCCTCCGCTGCCGCCCCCATCCCGCCACCAGCTCCTCCGCCCCCCGCCTTTCCGATCCCACCACCCGCGGCCGTGGGGACGCTGGGGCAGCACCTCCGCCGCCGCAGGAGACCAGCGCACACGCCAGCACCTTCGCGAGCCCAGCGCAACAGGGCACGCCCCTTCGCCATTTTTGATTTGGGTCCTAAGGCATGTGCAGTTGTTTTGTTTGTTTTCTGAATAGTGGCATTAATGTAAATTCCAGATAAATTAAGCAGGTCTCTTTAAAATGCCTTGATAATTGTAGGCTCCATTATTGGATTTTATCAGTTTGTGCATCTAATGATCCATGACTGTAGCTGTTAGGGTAGAGTTGGTCAATTGGGTAATGGCACTAACAACACAAACAAGGGATCCTTTTGTTGCAGACGTGTTCACTTCATTTGATTTTCTTTCTATGGATGTTTAGAACTTAAGAGTTTAGATAAGATCAGAAATTTATAAGGTCCCGTTTGGATCCTTGGAATTGAATTCATTTTAATAATTATAATTTAGACACATATTAATTAAGCTAATATGGTTGTATATGGATTATATTTGTATACTATTGTTGGCTATATGAGAGAGATACTTATGTTTTGCATTTCTACCGTAGGAGAGTGAGTTGAAGAGCGTGTTATAAGTTGCAAAGTAGAAACATAAGATGATAATCTATAGAATCAATTTCCATCTCCCACCCTATGAATTTGATGTAGGCTTATATGTGAACTTTGGAAAAGTACTGGAATGTCAAATTCCAAGCCAAATAGTCTAATTTATTAAGTAGATTTCAATTCCTCCAAATGAAAGGATCCAAGCGGCCCCTAAGAGAAAACTGTCTCTTCGAGCATTTAGGGATATTGGAGTATTTAGTCGATGAATCATATCTATTTTGAACAGCTATGCTTTTTCCTTTTTAGTTTTCAATGGAATAAAGCTAAGTGCATGTGCTTCAATTCCTGTTTAATATACACAATTAATATACTTTGTTTATTGAATTTTGCATGAAGCCTATTTACTGTCACTTGGTTAAAGAGGAATGGTAATCTTATATTCCTGTGAATGTGGTTCGATATGATAGAAATCAAATTAGCTGCTATTAGAGGAATGCCAATTGCCAGAAAATGAGTTTATGGAACATTTGGTTGGTCAATTTTTTCTATTCGTGTCCTTTTCTTTGTTTGGCTCTCATCGATGTTTATATCTACTGTGAATACTTAGCACTAGGTTCATGGAATTTTTTATGCACTCAGCATCTGTGATTTTTATGTTTTTCTCTTTTTCTGTAAATAGGTGGCAAAGCAGTATTTGTCTCTCTGGAACAGTGACGATATTGAGATCCTAATTAACCAACACTACAAGGTGCTATTACCTGGCAAAGCAATCTTTGTTTCTTTGGAGCAGTGACGATATCGAGATCCTACAAGGTGCTATTACCTATTATCTAAGTATTATGCTTATAGGATAATGTAGTTTGCAATGGTTTCCCTATTGTGTCTGTTATTTTGAATGTAGTAGTAGTGTATGCTGACTGATTTTCTAGTGCATTCAGTGTTTTAATTTTTCTGATGAGTACTCATGTTCATGATTCTATAGAGAGTTACCGGTATATACTCGTTAGTTAATGGAAAAAGGATATACCTTTCTGTCTTTCTTTAGACTATGTGTCTTATTGTTGTAGGAAATGATATACAATAAAACTGAGGTTCTCTTTTTGATTGTGATACACAGTTTGCCACTTAGCATGCACGTCACCCGCAGATATCACAGGGCATCCAAAGATGTACCAGACACCCTAATAACATGTTTTTTGGTAGTTATGGCAATAATTCAACAGCTTTCAGTTTTGGCTGATATTGAATAAACTGAAAAGAAATATTCAGAAGTTAATTCTGAGATGAAAGATCTTGAAACAAAACCTAAAGAATTTAAGGAATTGAAAAGCAGTTAGTATTTTTTTTCTCCTTGCCATATTCTTTCTGGCATCTTCTTGATAGTAGTTTTAATTAAAGTTTGTCTACAGGCTGCATTGTCTTCAATCATTTTTGTTTACTTGGCGCTAACAGTAGTTATCTCGAATTAGTTCTCTGTTTCTAGCCCAATCTAGTTAGTTATTATCTCGAATTAGTTTTCTGTTTATAGCCCAATCTAGTTTTGTGAGGACACATCTTAATACATCCGCTTACCAGGATCTCAATTTTGGTTCAATTTGATTGATTCTTGAACTAATGGCATATTGTCCTTCTTACGTGATTCCATTAGGACCCTGCGGCGCGGCTTGTTCGTGGAGAAGAGGTTGCTGTGTAAGCTGCCACCAGTTAACCATGTCGTCCTCTGTGCTGAGGGCTGCGGCCGACGGGGCCATTCGCAGGCAGGCCCTCACGCTGACGGACACCGCGGCATCCAGGATCCGGCAGCTCCTCAGCCTGAGGCAGCGGCCATACCTGCGGCTTGGCGTCAAAGCGCGAGGTTGCAATGGCCTCTCCTACACGCTCAACTATGCCGGTATACTTACCGCTTCCTTGTTGCACAGATCAACTTCCTGCATCAGTTTTTCATCGTTTCACATTAACAACATCCGACTTCATCCACTACAGAAAGGGCGGGGAAATGAATAAAGTGATAATACTGTCCCCGTCATCTAATATGTAGAATTCTGTATAAGATCCTTCATTGCAAATTGTTACTTCTGTTGGATCATGATGTTCAGTCATATACCATGTTTAGTGTTCTTACCATTTACCTTTTATTTTCGTCACTGTTTAGTTGTATAGTGGTGTGCCAGTTTATAATTACCAGACTAGTCATAATACTCAATTGGATTGGATGGTTTGGTCATGCTTGCAACTTGCTCAAGTTATACCCTTATTTCACTATTGTATCAGCCTAATCAATGCTACAAAACCCTTGTCGTCTCGGCAAAGCTCGACCTTCTAGTGTAACATTACTATTGGTGCGCCATGTTTAAGTAATATTGTAAAATCTGAATGGCATATTGGTTTGCGATGTTCAATTACTAGGTACTTATAATACCCAATTGGACTTTGCCAGCATATACCGTTTTTTTGTCACTATTGGATCAGCCTCTATCAATGCTGCAAAAAGCCTGGCGCCCTGGCCATATCTGCAAAGTTATAGCTTCCATGTGTAAATTAGTATCAGATAAAATTTGGTAGAAACTTATGGTGTGTAAGTGGAGTCACAGGTACCTTTATGATTTTGCCTACATCAATTGGTCCATGTAATGAGATTTACCAGTTATGAACATGCATGCTATCTAAAAGGGGCGCTGAAGCATCATTGCATTGTGTTGAATACCTAACAACTTTGTTTTGCTGTAACTGCTGTCTGCTGCTGCTGGTCACTCTTGGCTGCTTCTGTTCTTGCTCAAGTACATCGTACTCTAATTTCAGATGAAAAGGGGAAGTTTGATGAGCTTGTCGAGGAGAAAGGAGTCAAAGTACTGATCGACCCCAAGGCTTTGATGCATGTTATAGGCACCAAGATGGACTATGTTGATGATCCATTAAAGTATGGCTCCTACTACACAGTTATTTTTGGCCCCCTGTTCATCAGTTTTCAGTTACTAACTAAAGTTCCTATTGTAGGTCTGAGTTTGTGTTCATAAACCCAAATTCCAAAGGGGAGTGTGGCTGTGGTGAATCTTTCATGACTACAGGCAGCAAAGGGTCGACGTCATGATGCGATTTTCAGTGTAAATGCATGGCAAAGTGTCTGCAGGCTCCAGCTACAGATTTTCTTGCATCTGTTGCGTCGCAGTTCATATATAACACAGCAGTGGGTTCGTACTGGATATGCAATAATGCAACTAACTCACATGTACTTCTAAATTCATCTCAAATGTTGTTATTACATGGTATGATTATCCATGTTCTGTATATTTGATCGCTCACGATTTAAGACCTCAAATTTGTATGAATCTTGGGCTCTGTGTTTGCGGCAGTTCGTTGGGAAATTAGCCATCTGGGACGTTCGTAAATCGTCTCCGGTCGCTCTGCCTCTGTATGACTGTGTCTATAGAAGAGATTGTATATATAGATACTGACTGGTATTTACGGCTAATAAAAAAACTAAAGGCGCCAAGTCGACAGAGACAACACAAGAGCAGAGGATGTCTTTTCGGCCGGAGAACTGATATTAACCGTCGATGAAGTGAGATCAACCGTGGATTAGTTCGTGGTACACTGTCGTGTTGTTTGTCTAGTAGCTGACATGACCTAGTTTCCCCTAAAATTTGGTGGCACCCAGACTCCATTCTCGTTGGTCACGTACGATGTGCACGACAGAGGCACCAGGCAGAGCCCCCTGCTGCGGAGGTCAACCCTTGTCTCCTCCTGCTCCCCAGCAGCATTCGCGTTTGAACACCCCTGATTAACACACCACACACCACGGTGTGCACAACATCGGATTAGGGTAAGATTTCTCCGAAATTTTGAAACGAAGTTTGATTTAGATATATGGTGTACCCGCTGTGTTGGCTTGGGCTTCTTACTTCTCGAGGATTTCAAGTAGGGGCGGCTCAAAGTCTGCAGGGGAGGGTGATGAAAACTGTGCTGTCAGGAGAAAATCCTAGTCGCAAATGCTTGCTAGCAGTAGACATGGAAAGAAATGGTATTTATTTCTTGGCGATCATGCTTATTATCAGTTTGTTAACCGTGGCTAAACACTGAAACTCATGGATTAAGCGTGGCTGATAATTAAGCCGGTTCGTTAATTACCTCGACTTGATCTTGAAGAAACTTGATGTAACCAATGGCCTCCATGAGTACAGATGCAGTATCAGTCTGCACATAGTAGTCAGGTGTATAGAGTTAGTATAGTCCTATTGCCCTCCAAAACAATGCTGAATCGTGAAGGATAGCAGCAGAAATGTTGCTATATATTAATTACCTTGCCAAATGGTGAAACGAGCTGCTGAAGAGCAGCGATTCGGTCCCCTAATTTCTCTTTCCTTACCTAATTAATCAGAGAACAGCATGAGTATATATGCTTGGATAGATTACTGTCAACTGTGCTCGTGCTGGTGATCGAAACGACGGAAATGACGAAACGAGACGACTAGACTAGACGAGACGACGAGATCTGCAGACGTCGCAGGAGTATACTCCATGCGCCTGCTGCTTAGAGTACCTTGAAAGAAGGGACGATGGTGGTGGAGGAGGACCGCTGCTCGACTCGAGGCTTCTTCGACGACGGCGCCTGCGACGGCACCGGGCGTGCTGCTGACCTGCTTTGACACGCCGCGTCGTGCTCCGCGCTCCAATGGCGGCCTCCTCCCGCAGCATCCACACACGACGCACCCATCTGCATGCAAAGCTCACACGCGCGTGCGTACATCAGTAGTGAGAACCTACGCATCACATCACGTGGCTAAAAGTATATTAGAGAAAAACAAAGAAACGATGAGAGGCTGGCAGGTGGGCTATTAGTTTTTTGTTTTCATTATTCTCAGTACCGCTAATTTTGTTTTGCTCATGAGTCATGAACACTCACGTAGCCCTTGTACAATTTAAATAAAATTTCATGAGGTGTGACTACTTTTGAACTTTAATTGCTAATAAGGCATTTAAGTACTTTCCATATACCACGGAAAAATAATTATTCCTAATTTGATGTATGGTAATTTATGAAATCATTTGCATAGGAACATTTTGGATTTAATTTGAATGTTGAAAACGGGAGACAAGAGTACCATCTCATATATCCATTCAAACAGCAGAAAGGACCATCCCATTTCCCTCTAATCAACGAGTCTGTCTATATAACTGGGTGATCTAAGGATAACCATCACTTGATTTTTTGGCCCTTAGATGTAAAATAGAGGGCCCATAACAAATCTCTCTCTCCACCTATCTTCTTCTTCTTCTTCTTCCTCCTCCTCCGTCCGTTCGCACGACTTACATCTGACCCTAACTACAACGCGTCGGTCACCCCCCTCTACGTCCGGCTTCGACGGCTCATCCTTCGCTAGATCTACTGCCAACCACCACAGCCCGACCCCAAATCCATCAGATGTGTGCCTCCTCGTCATCTTCTTCTTCATCTCCAACCGAGCTCCCTTGCCACCACCGCCTAGCTCCATCGGCCCCCTCCCCACCGCCACGCTAACCCAATGGAGGTCACCGAGCTATCTCAGTCGCGCCCCAATCCTTGCCCCGTTCAACCGGCTTCCCCCACTGTACGACCAGTGGCTCCACTGCCGCCTTTCCCCATGCCGACCCTACACTTTCCACCACCGCCGGGACGGCCTCCTCCCCCAGCAATCCTTCTAAGCTCGCCATATTCATGGAAGCCCTTGAATCCTAACCCTAACCTTGCCAGAGTTAGGGAAGAAGACCATATTGCATTATTGGATTGGCAGTGCGATTCGAGTGAGAGGAAGCCTTAATTTAATCACTCGAGCGAGTTTAGCTTTACTCCTAACGAAATATTGTCTAGGATTATCTCATCCCTAAAATCAAAGACCGGACCATCTCATCCTAGATTGTCTCTAAACCAAATCCACCCTTAGTGACCATACCAATGTGTATTCAACAACAACACTATTTTGCGTGACTGGGTGCAGTACTGTGGTCACCGTATCGATATTCAGGCCCATCACCACCCATGCATACTTTTTTTTTCCTAACGAGAGGGGTATATATATTTCTGGATCAACTAGAGAATAGAATCTACTATGGAGGGTATATATGCATAATATCTATATATGAGTAATTAGTCATATGATGACAAGGCGCCAGCACTGCAAATGGCTTTATTAGTCCTGCAAACTAAGTAAAGGCTGTGAATAACAGATCTACTAACAGATGCGTGAGGAATTAAGTGAAGATGCAAGTGCAGCGAGCGAGGGGCATATGCATATGCATGCTGGTATGGGTGGTAGTGGTACGATCTTGGGCGGAAAAGATGATGCAGGCGGTCACTCCGATCCTAAAGCTGCGTGTGACGCAGAGCAAAAGGAGAGCCTGTACTCTCCTCTTTGTACAACGTGGACCGGCCGGGCGGGGCCTAGCTGGTTTAGCCTTGCTCCCCTCCCAGTTGCTCTAGCCTAGCTTTGCTTCGTGCAGGAGGACTGGAGGAGAGCGAGCATGCATGCACTGGCAGCACACTGCAGATCCATCAGGGTTCAGGGACATCAGGACATGCATGCATGAGGAGTAGGACATCAAATCATGCATGTAGCTGGTAGCAGGCACGCAATGAGCTAGCTGTGTACCTACCAGGCCACCGTAAGCTCGATCTCTCATCAGTATTAGAATCGTCCTACCATACTAGGAGTATGTAGTAGCTGATATATGATGCTTGTTGTCCGTGATCAGAGAACAGCTAAATATAAATGGTCCTCAAACTGAAAGCTCAGCCCTTAGTTCCTCCGCCAAAATTTTACACCCTATCATATCAAATGTTTGACACATGTATAGAGTATTAAATATAGACTAAAAATAATTAATTGCATATATTGTGACTACTTTGCGCGACGAATCTTTTAAGCATAATTAGTCCATGATTTGATAATAAAGTGCTACAGTATACACAAGTGCTAATGACGGATTAACTATGCTTAATAAATTCGTCTCGTGATGTACTGACGGATTCTGTAATTTGTTTTTTTATTAGTATCCGAACACGCCATACAACATCCGATGTGACACACTAAAACTTTACACCCTTAATCTAAACACCACCTCAATGTCGTTTGGCATAGAAATGTTGTTCTATTATTATCACATAATGTATAGGTAAGGTAGCTAGCTAGCTAGGTACTCGTACAGCATATGCATATAGACACATACGGCTCATTGCTTTTATTTTATTTTGGGCTTTAAAAATAGATTGACTATTATTTTCTCCAAAAAGAATATTATTTATTGGTTTATAACTAGTAAAATCCACAATACAGTCTGGAAACACATTGAAAAATGAATAATAATCCTGTTATATATGCTAAACATATAGGAGTATAGTTTGGCTAAATGTTGGTAAAAATAAAATAGATATAAAATTTGTTTTTTTCCTCTAAGACATGCGCGCGCAGCGCATATATGTATAGAAAGAAAGAGAGACACAATATGAGCAAAACAGGCACATATGCGAGCCATATAAGATAGTACAGCTACTAGTAACTGTTATTGACTTGAACTCTCGCCTACTTTTGCTTGTTATATACTCCCACTGTCGCAAAAAGAGTGTTGCTATATATAGGACTTGCAATATTTTTTGACTAGATTTATAAAAAATATTATCAATATTTATATCTTTAAATAAGTTTATTAAGAAAATATATTTAGCCATTTATCTAATAATATTAATTATGCACCATAAATGTTAATATTTTCTTATACATATTTGGTTAAAGGTGAAAATATTTCATTTCTCACGAAGTGAGAATGCCGCACTTTATGAAACGGAGGGCGTATGATTCTAGGTAGATGCATGTGTATATAATCACTATACCGTACACATGGTTCATGCTTTCAAAGAACGCGTTTTGTCTTGGCAACCAACAGGCTAGGTCACCATATATAGGTGCCGTTCGGCTGGTCACAAAAGCCAGTTTGTTTAGTTTCTTTTTTCAGTCGGAACAGTGTTTTTCTTTCACAACAATTCAGTCGGAATAGTATTTTTCAACCAAATTCAGCCCAGCGAAAAGGGCCAGGAGGTGGAGGGAATACCATGTATCTTTATTTACATGCCACAATATTATTATAATCAAAGTAAAAAAGATTTTATGCTATCTTTTAGAGTTCAAATGGTTTAAGTTATCTCCTATAAATTTAATATCTGAAGTCAATTATTTAGAGATGTCAAGACAGTAGTGCAAAAAGGGCTATATACTTACCGATTGAGTTCTAAGACACTTCAGGATACGTACGTATCATCGGTTGTTCAGCCAAAAAAAAAAAAAAATCAGCAGCAGCTGCAGCTGACGAGGCATGTTCGGTTGAGGTTTCCTTAAATTTCTAGACCAAGTTTGAATCAGATGCTAGTATTTATGGTGCTGGATATGCTGTTGTTGCTAGCACAAGCAAACTATACACTTATTAGCCCTACAACTTCATTACTAGATAGGCAGCTAGCTACTACTACCCTCATCCTTCTCCTTTGATTTTTCTCTCAGAGAAAAAAAAACTGTGCAAGTAATGCAAGCTAGCTCTACACACCGTACTTCAATTTGACTGACCTGCTTGTAGTTGTCAATGGATGGTCCATGGGGATGAGCAGCAGGAGGAGGAGGAGGAGGGCCATAGGGCACATGCTCTGATCTCAACAAAGGCATCGTGCCATTATGGAGCAGTACTGAAGAAGCTTGGCTAAGCAGCAGGGTCTTGCACAGCCTCGACGAAGCCAGTATCTCGAACGCGTCGCCCGGGAGAGGCGGCGGCGCCGCCAGGAACGGCCTCTGGTGAGTCGTCGTCGTCGTCCGCGAGATGTTGACGCTCGGGAGCACGGTCGCGCCGTCAGGGTCGGCGGCGACAGCCATGGCAGGGAGGCTACCGCCGCCGCGGCCGTCGAGGACGACATCGTGGCAAGCTGCTATAGCTGTGCTCGCACACGATGACCTTGATGAGTTCATAAGCGTGTCCTCCTCCTTGATCTTGTTGTGGCCATCGTGCTGCTGGCCGTTCATGGGCGGCATGGACAACGAGGTGTCTAGGAAGCTGCTGCCGCAGTTGCTCCATTGGAACCCTAGGTCTTGCATCATTAGCAGAGAACTGAGCTGGGGAGGGATCACTGGAGAAGGATGGCTGCTGTGACTGTGATGCTGCCCGCCTTGTGCTGAGAGGAGCACCTCAAGCTCCTCGCAGTGATGGCGATCAGCACAGTTTCTGCAGTAAAATAAAAGGAATCAAATATATATATATATATTTTTGTAAAGAATTCATCTGGCCAGGCCAAACAAGAAGTGTATGTGTATATATGTCGTATGGCGACGACTGTCCATGACAAAAGGAAGAATGCACAGCGACCTTTCGGAGTCGCGGAGGAAACCAACAAATTTGTGGATGGAGTCATACACATAAGTTGCATCTGTTCTATTTATCTCTTTCTGCCTAGAGTTGTCATTTTGCCGAGCTACAATTCCCTAGACTCCATAGAGACAATGTACAGGGAGGGAGACTGGGAGAGAACAAAGCATGCAGAGGAAAACTCCAAATCCTAGGAAGAATCCAGTCTACTATTAACAAAGAACATGAATGCATACTTTCCTTTGAGAGAAAGGAAGGGAGAATAGGTCAATAGGATGACACACAGTGGATAAAGAACAAACCAAAATACATTTCAAGACAGTTCAATTTTGGCACTGAGAATTGTGTAATAAACACAATTAAGGTAGAAACAGTAGTAGTGCTAGCTAGAGCTGCAGGTGCTTACAGAGTTAGGGGTTGCTGGCACCATAGCTGGTTGCCTCCAATAATGGCGCTGTGATGAGGAGCAGGAGCAAATGGCAGGGAGGAAGAAGAAGAAGCAGGCCATGGGAGGTCATCTTGCACGAGATGATCACTGAGGTTGGAGGAGGAGGACGAAGCTGCCATCATGGTGGTTGTAAAGGGGATCTTAATCGATCGATGCTACTTCCAAGAGGGGAGAAAAGAAAAGGTCGTCGCACTAGTATAGCTCTATGGTGGTGAGCTTTTAGAATCTCTCAAGAACACACGCCCCACCAATGGACGCTCTATCGGGTTAGAGAAATGGAGATGCCCATAAGGCTTCATCGCTTTACCCGTCCGTCCGTCCCTCCTGGCCTCCTTATGTATCTGCTTGCATTGGGTACCTTTGTTCCCATTCCTCTCCTTTTAAGGCATCAGCTAGCCAAGAAAAGCTCTCTCTCTCTCTCTGATCTCTCTCTTCTCTCTCTCATATCATCATTATAACATTTCTGCTAGTAGGATCTGGGCCTTTAGATCCCGAAGCATAGCCTTCAAAACATGCATATGGCTCCAAAGAGACAAGTCTTTTCTCCCTCGGGTGTATTAGCCATATATAGGGCTAAAACGCCTTATCGATCAGTCACTACTGCTGGTACTAATGCATGGTACAAATTGTGTTCTCGAGAAAAGAAAATGGTCTACAGAAAACGGCCAAAGTAATGTCAATTATTATTTTTCTTTGGCGTCTGCAATAAGTATTTGTCTGTCTGACGAATTGACGTAGAGATGTCAAATCATGTTACTACCAAATGGAAGTAGAAAAGATACCAAGTTCAAAATGGACTATATATGGTTTACAGATTCATTTAACAAAATCATTTACCATTAATATTGGAATGATTTTGGACTAATATTACCAATATATAGCTAGTACGTTGTTGGGCTTGGTTAAAGTTAAGTAAAGTTTCTCATGTCAAGATCACTCTTATATATTTCTCTTCACATGGGAGGGACTCTCTTTAATTTCACCATGATCCCTTTCTTAGCCGTTGCTAGAAATGCAAGATAGTAACTGACAGTACTTAAGAATATATCGAAGCTGGCACGTGCATTTCAAAATCACGCTTCCTAGAGTGTAGGTGCCTGAAAACGAAGAACCAAAGGCACCTGGCAACTGAATGAAAGAAATGAAGGAAGAAGAAGCTCTAAAGTCATCTGATTTAGATCTAATGGATGAGAGTCCTTGTCTGATTGGATGCAAAATTTCGGGCACCTAAAATATAGCATAGAATTGGGTGGTATTACATTTTATCTTTACATATATATGAGTGAGTTTAATTATACTGTACTCCAGCACCATCAACTTTTTGTGCATGTGTGTGGTTGGAATAAAGGGACTACTCCTTTTTCCTCAAGGAAAAACACTCTTTCTGTGGCCTAGGTAATTGTGATGTATGATTCCACGGCAGCAATGCAAGGGGTAGGGGCTGCAAAAAAGTTGGTCCCTGGGCCTTCTCCAGTTCTCCTCCTCCAATGCAAGACCAAGAACAACAAAACTGGAGAATGCCCAACATCGATGCAGTACCGTACCAGGCTGTCCTACAAGCCCCGGAAAATTAAACGGAAAAGAAAACAAAGTAACAACAAGAGGACTGATCAGATGAGCCCCACATCCATTCATGTCGGCCGGGTCACTGCACAAAAGGGAGAAGCTAGCCAGGCCAGGCCAGGAGATTGTGATGAGATGCCAATGCAAGTATGGGCACGGCAGATACCTTACCGCCCGAGCCTTTCGATCCCATGTATTGCGTTCACTCACTGTTTCTCTGTCCTTTTTTACTGCAGCTCTAAAAGTGTACTCCGTAGTATATATACAACTTTGTTGAGACGTTGTGCACTGCGTATTCATTCTTTTAGAAGACTTTAAGAAATCCATCCATACACGCATGCGCAGCATGCTAGCTACAATATCTAAACATGCAGTGCACGTACTCTAGAACATCTAATTAGGGTGCGTGCAAAGTTTCCCATATAAAAAAAAAGGTGGTTTAACTATTGATAAAGATAATGGTACGCTCAAGTCCATTCTCCAATCTCCAACTTGCATGCATAAAAGTCTGATTTTAATTCTGAACAACTATATGAAATCAGGTACCAGAGTTTCTCTCACTATTAGAATCGGACAAATTGGGTCCTCTAGTTGGTTTTAAAGATAGTTCTCTATTTTCTAAAATATATTTTAATCTCTAAAATTTTATTACAAATTTATTGTAAATCAGAAAAATATGAAATTAGTTTCTAAAACTGTTATCTATCTGTTGGTGATCTATTTAGAGTTATTTAGAACTTTTATCCCTATTATTTTTATTGTAAATGTATCAAACTTGGAGATTGACCAAAAGAATCTGGCACACTATGAATACATAAGAAGATGTGGAAGACGACACCAACCTCATCGATGCCATGCTTCACCATAGGTATAGATCTTATTTAAGGCATTGCATGGCTAGCATTTTACTTTGTGTTGATTCCTTGATTATATGTTTCAAATAAGGTAGTGCCTCAAACGTCATGCAATCAACTCGTCATGCGATCAACATAGACTAGAGCACAAAACAATATTTAAATAAATAATAAACTTGGCTACAAGAAATGAAACACTAAGAGCATGGATAAATAAGATCCATACTCCACATAGTGCGCCACCATATAGATAGAATTTTTATAAATAAAATTGGTATTAGTTTCAATTTTTATGATTTAAGATAAATTAGTTATGACATTTTAGAAAGTAAAGCATATCTATATATACTCTTATAAAGCTAAACCCCACTAGATGATTTTTCTCTTCATGCAAGGTGTCCACATCATTCCCCACTAAGTGACCCCACTAGATGTTCTATCCCTTCATGCAAGGTGTTCACATCATTCCCCACTAAGTCCATGTCATCCCTTATTAATTACAAAAGAATGACAACGTCATCTCTATCATGTGCAATACTTTTAACCTTTAATTAATGTATTACATGCAAGTCATCTGCATAAGTTTTTTTTGTTTCATCACCTATCCTCTATAATGTAATCAAATATTCTATGGTTTTTTCTTCTATTAGCTTACCGATTTTTTTACCAGAGTTGATACAATAAAACAACATGCAAGTCGAATCCATATATATGCATACTATATAGAATACTATGTAGTAATGCTATGTATATAGCAGATTTATTTTAAGAAAATCCCGCGGCAAAGCGCGGGGTATGCTTTTAGTTTTATAAAATAGAAAATCACCTTTGAAACCAGCTAGAGAACTGAATTTTTATGGTTACAATAGTTGGAGGGCGTTCGGGACCTGGTTTTGTACTTCAGGGTTGAAAATCGGACCGTTGTACAAGTTGGAAGTTGAAAAATGGACTTTACCCTAAACACAAAAGTTTACCAAACAATTTTCTGACATATAAATGGATGAAGTTAACTTCTATCATATTAGTTAAGCAGACATCATATACACATGTTTCATGATTTTTTCTTGAGAAAACATGAGGTATAAATAAGTAATCTCAATGTATTATTATTGGGTTACTCCCAAGCTGTGTGTTAACTTTCATTCTACTACATCCGTTCCAAAATTCAAGGTATTTTAGTTTTGTTTTAAGTCAATCTTCTTCAATTGGATCAAGCTTATAGAAATAAGAAAGCACATTTATAATATGAATTTAGTTTCACTAAATTCACATTACTTTATAGTATATTTGTTTGGTGTTAGAAATATTGCTACTTTTTAAATAAATTTAGTCAAATTTGTGGATTTTGATTTATGACAAACCTAAAACATCTTACTTTTGAAAACTGAGGGACTAGATGCCTATATAAATTTTGTTTGTACCCAATTGAGGTTCGTCGATGTAGGGTACATCCTTATTGTGACTCTTAGGGCTTGTTTTGGTTGACAACTAAATTTGCGACGCCGAACCTTAGCTAGCTACAATTTTAGCTAGTAGGTAGTGTGTTTGGTCTCTACCACAACTCAATCTGCTTAATTAACTTCTTAGCTACATATATATACCTATTGAATACGTGCATTGAGTAGCAAACATTCTTCCGTGTGGTGCCTGATCCATGCATATATCTCAATTATTTATTAACAGGTGCCAACAATATCGTGAGTTAAAGTATGCACACATCGACATGCATGTTCCCGGCGCACCAGTCCAGCTCGATTGGGTCTCGTGCAAACATCACATCAATAGAAAAAGAGGAGAGAGCCCTACACTTCCTTAAAGGAGCTGAAAGCCAACAGAAAGACATCGGGAGAAAAGAAAAGAGTGATTGAAAAGGTTCAAATGTGACTAGACCTTTTAAGCCTGCCTTTAAGTGTGCGCATACGAGTTCTTTTCGGAAGGGCAACTCGACCGTCGTCCGATTAAACCGGTCTCTGGCACACTTATTACATGGTTAGATCAACATGACTCAGAGCAACAACGTACCATTTGATGCTATGATTGCAAACTTTTTGAAGGAGCTTCTAACCCAGCATGGCCTAATCATATTATGCTGTCTTCCAGAGAAGTGCAAGGTCAAACCGTAATAATTTCTGTAACACTATTATTTCTCATAGGGCATGGAAATCTAATTATTATTTCAGTATGTAGCTAGCTAGTTTCTAACTAAATAAATTTGTTACCATCACCACTGGATTTTTAAGATCTCCAAACAGTGGCTAATGTATCGACGAAGCTATTTCAATTGCACTAGGAAGCTTTTGGCTAGATGAGAGAAAAAAAGAACGCTAATCATATATCAAACAATAATTAAATTTTTAAACAACATGAAAGATTACATATCTTGTAGTGCATGTGCCATAAAGTAAATTATAGCATTGCAATGTTGTTTTAGTAGTGTTCTAATGAATGATTCAATAGGTTACAACTTGGTAGCTTTAAAAGTTGATTTTGCTACCCTTAGTGTAGGTGATTCTTTGGATGTCAAAAACAACACCGTACCTTAGCAAAAAGCCAATGCAATGGAAGTCCCTAAGACATGAATGCTATAGCCGCATGAGAGACTATATAGACTTCTCCTTTGGTTAGTCTTAGCTAGCTTTTGCATCTTAATTTTAAGTTAGTGAAGAATTGTGCCGTTTAGGAGAGATTTGTTTTTCTCCCTATAT